TGTACAACAAAAATTCTATAACTGTATCATAATGCACCACTATGGCTTCCATTGTATAATGTTTTTAGCATGTGTATCCAGCCCCCTGTGATGTGCCAGACTCATGTCGGTTCATACTGCATATGACAAACCCTTCTTGTAGATGTGGGTCGGGCTGCGGTACAACGTCAGTCAGGCGCAGCTCAAAAGCCTGGCAGCGCAGTGGGTTTTCCCTGTAGTACTGGATCAGGGAGTACACGGTTGGAAAGTGCAGATTTGGCGTCAGGTAGAAATAAGTGTGTCCTCCCTCTGAACCGGAGTGAATACGACAGTGCTGGACTCTCCCACTGCGCCTGTAATACATGCAGAAGACGTGCTTAGAGAGAAATACAAATGGTTAAAATACAATTGTTACAGTATAAACAGCAAAAAACAAAAACTTCTACAACTGGTAAGGTTTCAGATATAGCTCGGGATCAAAAGTTGCAGAAAATGTTGATGTGCTGATTATTAGCAAAGATAAAGCGAGTTAAGACATGACAAGAGGAAGGCTATCTCCAGATAGGTCAGATCTCTAGTGATGCCAGAACCAGATGGTCATCCTTCAATTTCCCAAAAGGGACCCTAAAAAAGTAATAAGTTTAGAATTAGCTTTTGAAAAAACAACAAGGGTGGTAAATGCATGTCTAAAACTCCAGGTGAAGGAACATATGGGTGTGTCCAACAATTTATTTTTATTATTTATTTATTTTTGGTTGTTTTGATGACCACTGGTGCATTCTGGGCATAGCCAGGGGCATTGAGGAAAAGAGGCTGAATACAATATTAGTGGGTGGAATGTGTCACTGACATCCAGTGTGTCTCAGACTCCCCTTTTTAAAATAATACAATAAAAATATATTATAATCACTTAATTTATGCTTTTGTATCATAAGTGATCGTCTGCCAGAAGCTGACTGCGGTTTGTGGGAACGTTCCGTCTGTTAAGCGCCCACTTTATCTCCACCTACAGCTGCTTTTGTCAGGATCAAACAGTCATAAAATGCAAAAATAAAGGGCCTGTATTTCCCTGTGGTGGTAATGAAGGTGTGTCTTTGTAAAGCTTGAGTTTGAGGAAACTGTAACTGAATAGTGAGTGACAGCAGCACTCACTGGGGTTGGACTGACTCATCCTGCTGTCAGTAAAGCCTGTAACACGAATGATGGGACATCTGCAGGGAATTTGTTATTTATCATGGCTCAGGAGCTGCTATATCATTGCACCTGGATTTAATCTGCGATTCTCAAAGAAAGAGATTGTACTTCGCAGTCTAGACTCTCGCTAGGAAAATTGCAATGCATCTGCGATAAAAGGTGGTCTGAGCAGGTCTTAACACCAGCGTACTTCCAGGTCAAAATGAGCACCAAGTTGCACTGCACTGCCTAATCAGCATGAACATGACTTCAGTTGCACTTCTCCTCTCAACTCAGGATTAGTGAGTTCTTTCATGGCATGAAAATAGCAAACACACCAAATAACTAAACAAATATATAAATAAAGACTTGTGCCCATGGAAAAATGCACAGAGACAACATTTGCACTGGCTTTGTGTTGGCAGGAAAATAGAGCCCTAAATCTGTATTGTATGACACTGTATTGAATCCTCTGTGAGTCATCTCATACGAAGAGGCTTCAGCCACACTTTCATCTGCCACATCCTTTAGAAGAGGAAGCCTTTGCAAGGGGACAGAATATCACACGCACAAAAATCTACAGTGTTTTTGGTCATGAGATCAAGAAATGGGATACTGTACCAGAAGGAGAGGGTGAAGTCTGTGACAAAAGTATCACTTTCTCGGACCAAGAAGGTGCCGTCTCTTCCCCCAGTCTCTGCACAGTAATCATAGATTAATCGCTCGGCCATCACCCTTCCCTCCGTCATGCGACCGTGAAACCATGGCTGTGAACAGTGCAGGTCCTGGTACTAGACACAAAACAACAACACTGGTTTAAATCCATACATGCTTGTTCTAAAGCTCTATTCCTTCAGCCTTACACTAGGTTTAGTAAAACTCTTAACCTTTTCACTTTTTACAGATCTGCATGATTTGTTCTTAAGGATCCTTATGATTTGATTGCAATGGTTGTGGACTTGTCATATTTATATTATTATATTTCACTACTTAAAGTTGATTGATTCTAAATACACACAATAAAAATTTGCTGGTTAAGTTTTCCATCTCCCTCTTACCTTCTTGGTATCTTCTTCCTGCTCCTCGTCCTCCTCTGCATAGTACAGCATGTCATCTCTGATCACACAGTAGTGCTTGTTCCACCGCTGAGAATGAGACATTCACATTTACATATTTAACATAACTTGGAAAAGAAGCTGCTCACAAAGGAGATTTTCAGATTAATAAACAGTAGTTAGAGTACTGAACTGACTTGCTGAAGTTTAAATATAAACTGTTTCTCTCCACCCTCAAGGCAATCCCAACAACAATACACTTATTTATTGGAAGTATGATCTTCTAATTTCACATTAATCATGTAGTTTCTTTCAGTGATGATTCACCTCAGCAAAGGTATAACATAGACTACTCTGCTACTGCTCTGCTGACTCTAATTTTGTAGAAGATAATCATTAACACTGGAGAGAAATGAGGGGGGAATTTTATGCTGTGTTTCCACTATTGGAACCTAATGAGTGATATACCCCATATGTCCCATAACTATGACCAAGCGGGATGACGCCGACCGTTCTGCTTTGTTGTTCCACTGTATTTTCTCTCTGTTGGTCTCTGTTTAGAGGAGGGAGGGGCTGCTCCCCTCTCACACATGTAGTCAGCTGTATGTTTAAATATGGTGCTTGTGATGCTAATGCTTGAAGTGTGAAGACACAGACACACACCTTCTTCCCCCTCATGTTCCTGGATACTTGATTTTAGTACTACTTCCTGAGGGGCGCTGAAATTTAGCTTTCAGAATGCACCTCCAAAGCAGGCACACCATAGTTGAAACAAATGCAGAACCCATGACGAGTGTTAACTCGATGCAACACGTTTCAGTAGGTTCCTATAATGGAAAAACCCCTTCAGTGAAAACAAACCTAAGAACAGAATTATATTTATTATACTGAGACCTAGATGGTTCTTATTTATACCCAGACTGGTTTAATGAAGAGAATAAAAATGTCTGTAGTAGGACGAGGTCACACTAAAGGGCTTTTCTTCTGTCCAGCAAAGTCTGAGCGGGAAGTCAACACAATCTTTGGCCATCTTTGACACAAACCTGGGGCCTGTTGCACAAAAGTAGGATTAAGACATCCAGGATAAATGGCTGAGCTAGGCTCAATGAATCCAAAACACGTGAGTCCAGGCTTAATTGGTTGCACAAAGACCAAGCCAGGATGAGCAGACACGGATTCATCAAGCCAGGTGTAACCAATCCAGGATATGTGCTCGTTCACGGCTCACTCAAATAGACCCCGCCACCGATCACAGATTCACTGATTCACCATGGCAACTAGAGCGGCGTACTTTTCCCCGTCGGAGGCACAAATCGTCATGGAGGCATACGAGGAGGTCAAAGAAATAATTAAGAAGAAAGGCAACACCGCCACAGTGATCAAACAAAGAGAAAAAGCGTGGCAAAGTATTGCAGACCGCCTGAAAGTAGTGCACAATTACAAACCCACCGCTCCACTAAAACATAACAATTACAATTTAAATAGTTAATTCACATCTCCAAAAACGTCAAGTGAGCCATGACATATGAGCTCCCATTGCGAGCGCACAGGACCAGTGACATCTTTAGTAGGTTATAATTTTTTCCCCAGCAATCAGTACAAATAAGCATCGTTATAAGGCACCGCCCCCTTTTGCCC